CATAGAAAGGTTAACATCAACTAACTCATCTTTTAGAAAAAAAATTATTCTCCTTTTTGAAAGAATATTTTATAAAAATATAATAATAATATATAATAATCGAAGGAATGTTTTTTTAATAAGATATTCATTTTTCTTCCTTAAAAATATATTTATATGAATTGAATACAAATAATATACGGATATATGATTCTTCATTTAATAGGAATAAATGTCAATTATAATTATTTGACAGTTTGATATGATCTGACTCACTTTTTGGAAGAGACAACATCATAGGTTCTCCTCACCAAACGAAAGATCTTGATGAGCTTGTTAGTATATTCGATTTTAATATGTATACGTTTTACAAAAAAAATAGCTTCAATGGTGTATGTTCATCAACATTCCTATGATACTTAAGTTATCATTAATTTTCTATGAAAAAAATATCTACATGAGAGAATAATTATATCATATTTAGTGAGGTTTATTTTTATAATATTATAGTCCTATCATATATAATTAGAAGGTTATCGATTCTAAGAATATTTCATTAGAACTTGATAGCGAGTTAGTGTAGAATATTCATCATATGAATTATTATCCTCATCGAATATTATATTTGTTGGCCTCAAAAAATTAAATTGGCAAGATATCGTGTATACTTTTTTTGGATTAATTATAGGTCATTTCATGTAATTAACTATCATTAGTATTTTAATTCTTATACTTTCAAAAGTTGCTTTGAGATTCTTATATTTATGAAAGTAAAATATTTTAATATATTTTGCTTACGTCATTTTGTTGATGGAAATATCGTAGGAATTATCACTGAGTACATACTGATTTTGTCTTACTTCGATTTATTATTGAGCACGTATAGTATTTTTATCAGTAGAATCAACGATACGAGGAGAAATAAAATTAAATATTTTATTTTTATAAATATATGAATCATAATATAATCTTTGAAAGTATAAGAATTAGAACGCTGAAAGTAACTCACTATAGAAAATTGGTGAGAAAGTTTACGGTGGGCGCAATTGTTGGTGTAGGCGGCGAGGATGGAGTAATGATGTCGGATGGAAGAGGCATTTTAGCGTAACCTTTTAATTAGCTTCATCACATCAATGCAGAATTGAACGACACGACAGGAAACGTACTGCAGTGAGATCGAAGCAGACGCCTAAAGCTTAACAATGGTGTATGTATGTATTTTGTATATGATGTATTTATATGCTTATAGATGTCATACGGCTGTAAGTTTACAGCGTGAAGGAAGTAGAAACAAAGTGAAAGCTTGAAGTATGCATGGATCTATGTATATATCATGCTTTCTTGTGAGGATCACGGCATATCTTGGGATGACTTGAACTTGTAGATTGGAGCTAAGCTGAGATCATTAGAAGTCAAGCTACAATTCCGTGTGCATGAAGTAGAAATTTAATGACAATTAATTAAATGTCAATAAGAAAAATAAATTTGATTTTAATCTTCATATCTATTAATTCTGAATTAATGTTTATTCACCTCACTCACAGTGTACTATAATATTTGGCTCTTAGTAAAAGGGTAAGAAAGATAAATCAGAATTTTGTTTGTCTGAGTTATTTATTGATGTATAAGGTTTTTTTTAATTAAAATTTATTTTATAAAAAATCATTAAATCAAAAGATCATGAGATTATAGTTTTTACACATGAAACATGAATATAGCACTAAACCGAATGCAGTTTTTGGATGTAAGAAATATGAGTAGGGAGACATATCTATCAAATGAGTTGATACAAAATGGTAGATTACATGTGTTAGATTAGATCACGTGGGAGAACGAGAGTCTAATTCTCCTTACATATTGATAACGATTTTTGGATCTAAAGACGATGATTGAGATTTTTTTTCGATAACATCGAAATGTACGTATCGTAAAAATTAATATAATATTATTTGATTTTAATCTTAGCATAAAAAAATTTCATATCATATATTTTATGTTAAGTCCAAGAAAGATTATGAAGTGCATGGCATAAGAAAAACTGAAGCCCTCTTGATGTTCTACAAGATTACGAAGCTGGAAGGTGTTAGTGATCCCAACAATAAGAGTCATAGTTTTTCTCTTTCCTTTCTCGATCTAAAAGATAAGTGCGGACTGACTCGAAGCTGATATTTAGAAGTATAATCTCAGCTCACACTTTCACAGAAAAGAAAAGCCCTCACAAAAAAATTCCCTCTCCTCCTTAGTAGTGATGTGATACTTTTCAGCAAACAAAGTATCCATAACTATACATTATGCTTCTTCATCTTCCCTCCGGCGAAGAAGCAAGAGAGTAGAATCCGAAAAGAAAAGGTAAAAGAAAGTGCATGAGTACATGATCTTTAGAGAGGGAGTAATTGTTATGCATCAGCAACGGGTGGCTGTGTCTCTGTGGCTGCTAAGGAGGAAACTTGGCAAAGGTAGGTTGCTAGGAGGTGGTGAGAGGGAGTAAATCGACTCAGCCACCTCTTCTCCTTCCTCGTTGTTAACCGCAGTTACCTTCTCTACTGTCATCTTACGCTCTCCTTTGGGCTCGCGGAATTTGTGAGCAGCCTTCGGCGGTGGCTCCTTTCTTGTTTTCTTCACGGAAGGCTTCGTCTTCATCCTGTGATCTCTCGACCTAAACATGCCAGTATCGCTGTTCGTTTTGCTTAGCTTCAGTCCCGGAGTTGGTGGTGGAAGGGGGAGAAGAGGAGGTTGACGGAGTGGAAGAGGCCGAGGAGGAGGAGGAGGAGGAGGAATTAACGCCCGATCAGTGCAAAATGAAGAAGGAAGAAAGGAGCAAAGCTGTGACCTAAAACCATCATGGTTTGGTGAAAGCTGGCTAAAGAATGGCAAGGAAGAATAAGGGTTCACAGAACTGTGTCTGGATCTCATCACAAATCCTCCTCCGGTATCAGCGAGACCAACCTTTCTTGGACTCAACTGTGATCGATCTACGAGGAAGCTGTCCATGGAGTTCCTCCAAATCAACACAGAACAGTATGATCTCTTCCTACGACAAATAAGATGCAAAGAAGGCTTCTTCCTCTCGTGACCTCCTCAACTCTCCTCCGAGCCCCCTACTACAACAGGGACATGGAATTATATGCTCATACCATCTCCTCCCAAACAACAAGTTTAAATAGGACGAGGAATGATGAGAGGGATATATATCTATATATAGATATGTATCTCTCTCTTACTTCAGGCCGGCACTCACGTAGGTCAGGGGCGGCAGCCGACCTTTTGGTGTGGACCGTCCGATCATGAAGTGACGGTTCTCAAGCTTCTGATTGGGACAGGCGGAAAGTATCAGTGTGCCATCCGAAACATGTGTTAAGAGAAACAAGCGGAGAAAGAGCGGGTGAGCGCCGACCACTTTACGAGGTCAACCCACGTTTGGATTCTTGTGTTGTTTGATGTCAATGGTGGAGGAGCACGAATCATGACGTGCAGGAGACGTCACCTGGCCAATTGCATTCACAGTGCAATTAATGGATTCACATAAGAATGATGATTTAATTCATATTATTATCCGAGTTATGATATAAAGTTTGATTCTTTCGTCGAAATATACCAAATTCGGAGTTGAGATTAGGATAATGCAGTCGAAAGTAATGGAGATGACGCAACCTTTTGACTCGCGTTGGCTTGGAGGCTCACTCCATCGCAACACGAAGCGGTCGCCCGAATCTCGACGCAATTCCTGCCTTGCAATGGTAATGATGAGGCTTTTGACTCGCGCTGTTTTGGAGGCTCACTCCATCGCCGTGTACACGAAGCGGTAGCCCGAATCTCAACGCAATTCCTGCCTTAAAAAAATAATTGACTAATTCTTTATAAAAGTATTTTTTTTTTTTTGGTTATTTTTTGCCCACCGTTCTTACTTTTCA